ACCACTTTTGCTTTCGAAGAGTATCGAAAACCGTCGCCGAAAAAAAAAATATTTTCCCGTTGCGGTCGTAGAATTGCAGTATCGAATGGGTCAATGAGCTCAGATACTCTCGATAGTTGAGTTGATTTCGATGTGCATAAGGGATCGATCGACAATGTGAATCAATCCAGTACACACGCAGGAGGTTGTGCTCACAATCAGCAAGATAGATAATAACGCAATCATGATAACCAGCAAACTCCATCCCACAATGAAATTTACCAAGTATTTGAAGCATACCTCCCGAACTATTTCTGGTAGTGTTAAGTGTCTGTCTGGATTTTGGTGACCCAATGTTCCTGCAGGTGAGCTGGAAGCGTATTAAGCTGCAATAAAATTCTGCCTGTACTTGCGACGGGCATTAAACTGGTTATCATATATCGCAAGTGATGCGTTGAACCGAGTTTCTGGAGAGAACGAGATAGCCCAGGTGGTTGGAGCTCCAATTTACTGACCGGGAGATCCGTGGTTTGAACCCAAAATCTGAATCTCTACTTCCCCTGTCTAAGCTTGGGCAACCTGGCAGTATCCCAGCCCTCGTCACTACATCTGCTGGCACGGTAGCTAGGCATGGAAAGCTGTTACAGCTGAACGCTTTGCGGGTTTCTGGTGAGCTTCGTCTGCTTCATGATCGCCGGGTTGGTTTGAGTCTTTAACCAGGTTTCCATATCCGGCAGTGACTTCACTCATGTACACGTCAAGTGCACATGAAGACACAATCGCGCAAAATGCCTTTTACCGCATTACCAGCATGCCAATTAGGACTTCTATACGGTCGAATTCGCCGTTATGGGAGGTTGCCTCGAAAGTGTCTTGAAAATACTAAAAGTAGGGTAGGACAATAGTCTCTCCAACATGACAGTGTCGTGGTTGAGACTCAAGATGTACACGTGAGTAATAAACAGCAGAGTTGTCTTATGGGATTGTTCAAGCATGTTCAATAACCTCGCGCTGATATCACTTGTGGAATATAACCGATGGCTTCATATGAAAATAAAACACCTGAACTGGTCTTCCGTCATGGTAGATAACTTCAATTCTTCACATTCAAGATTGACTACCGGTAGAAGTAATATGGTCCTCAGATTCCTAATTCACTGACAGAAAATATTAAACAAAGACGAATGATAACCGAAAATCATTGAGTTGCTGCACGGTTTTCTTTCAAATCCGAGATTTCGCGTGTTCCTCGGAAGGATGAAGTTAAAATCCCGTGTAGGTTCCGTTGTATCAAGTTTTCTAAGCAATAAATTCACTGGTTATGCATCATCTTTGTGCTTCAGTTCGACTTTGAAAACATCTACGTACCTCTAAACAATTAAAGAGAGGTTAAACCACCATCAGGCTCATAATACGGCCACGTCATCAAGAGATTACATTGCTTCACATGGGACGGAAGCAAACATACTTGCCTCGCACCACGTGAAATCCGACTTGACCCGAGAGGTATAAATGTATCAACCGTTCAGCAAACCCTTTATTATTTCATTTCTTCTCAGACAACCGCGTAAAGCGGCTCGGTCAGATTAATCAGAGACACCTTTGATGTCCAGAAAGATCAGAACAACGGACCAGTGATGGATAAGTCGGTGCTACACCAGTTGGCGTAGAAGGTTGATACACACTATCTTTCTGAGGTCACAAACATGCTTGTTCCTCAAATACCTTATGCTCTCAAACTGAAGATAACCAAAAAACATGGTGACAGCCAACGATTTCGACACAAAAGACAACAGGATGGCCATTCGCTGGTTGTAACCAAAACTAGGGCAGAAGAGTTACACTCGGCTACGATGAGTTCTTCGTCATAGATCTTCCGAGGTTGCAGCTAAATAAATTAGAAAAGCATGGCTTTCTCTTTTTTAAAAGGCTCTGTGGAGGCTGTCTGGTTTCGATTTGGGCAACGCTTCTGGAGGAACCAGCAAAAGAAAGACCGTGTAAGCTCTAATATTTGTTAGGAGTAAGATATAAGCTTTATTAGAATATCTGGAAAGTGGAGCAAATAAGCTGTCCGTAGGAATGCTCCGCCTATAATTATCTACATGAATAAGTCGCTTCAAAGCTCTGAGCCTCGTTAATAACAGTCTGACTGACCAATTTCTTCACACACTACCGATGAATAGGTCAAGGGGTTTCGAAAGATGTGAAGAACTATACTACATTAAAAACACGCGTACGTCAAGATTTTTCAAATACCTTACCGTAATTCTAGCCTCTTTCTGTGCGTCTGACAGAAGTACCGCAGTCGCTGCCACCTGGAGTGTGTTGATGAGCCTCAAAAAAAATTTCAGGAACTAAAGGGAGGTCCACTATCCAGTAATGCCAAAGGTATATGTATCAACAGCTGTGTTCGCAGACGTGCTGCGAAACTGAAACCAGTAGACGGCTGTAATATGGAATCGGTGAAACCGGTAAACATGAGAGTGATTGAGACGATTATGAAGGCAACTAGCGAGATTTAGACCGAGTGGAATCGATTCCTGGCACGGGTTCTTTTTCTGGCCAAAAAAATCCTCAAATCTCCATTTTTGGAATCAGGTCCGTGCATAATATGATGCCATATGACGTGCATGCCAAGCCAATTACGTTAACCAAGTAGTTCATAGTAATATTAATAACGCCAAACCAGTAGTTGGTGTAGCCTGAGGCCTGGTAGTTGGTTGACAAAACAAAAGACGGCCTCAGACTAAAGAGCTGCTACGTAAATCATGATTCGATGGATACTGAGGCGCGCTAAAATACGCATAATCAGGTCAATGCAAAAAAAACATAAAAGGCAAGCCAACAGCTTGGCAAGACGTTTTGCCTGAATAAAAGCTACATATTAAGGTAGCAAAACCGGCATTACCAAAGCACGTAACAATAAAACGTGGCAGTTTTGGAGTAACAGTTAGAATCGCTGCCGAAATCGGGTAGCTTTGAGTAGTTGGGGTAGTAGATATAAAATATATGATAAGCCAGAGCTGGTCAGAGTAGGGAAAACAGGAGTTTCTACTGGATCACTAAGCACTACTGCTATGTTAAAAGCGCCCTACGTGCAGCCACGAAGACAGTTGTTATATTTAATCTGTAGCCTGAGAAAGACATCTAGGCCTGCATGACAAGAGTAAACCTCTCCGGAGACCCAAAGAAGTGTTGTTGTTTAGTAAAATCCATAAGTGCTCTGGTTGACATGCTAATAGGGTTACAGAACAGAAATGAAGTCCCGCAGACCCTGTCAAACACCAAACGTTTGACAATTTAAATCACCACGGGTTTCAAGCCCTGTGTGTGCAGAAAAGATAAGAGGATCCTCTACTACATCAGATGGGTTCCAATTTCTAGTGAATCAAAGTTGCTCGCAACGCTTCAAAAATGATTCTCCGGAATTCGTCTTTGGTACTGCGCGCAGATTAAACGTTCTCACTTTGCGAAGAAAGCAGATGTCATTTCAAGGAGTCAGAATGAGGCTTTATGTGGTAATAAGGAAGTGTCTACATATCGAGGCCATTCGAAGTTGTATTCATCGTTCATCTGAAACTACACAGGTCGAGAAGGTCTTGCTGAAATTTTCTGAAGGCTCTTCAGCATGTCAATCGGTGCACTTCTTTCCATTGAGCTAAAAATCGTGTCCGAGCTAATAGGCTGTAATTTTTTTGAGAAAGGAAGTGTATAGTCCCACCAAAAATTTCCTTGGCACTCTCAAACTTCGACGCGATGCAGAGTAGTGTGACGTTTGTGGACCTGCTACAGCCAAGCAAGCTGCTCATCTTGATAAGCCCCTGCTATTTCTGTTGGTCCTTTAGTTCCACTAACGACGATCTGGAACATTAGTAAATCGTTAACAACCTATTTTGTCTATTCAGTCTGTACTAGCTCCTCATTGTTTTCCAATTCTTATTTATTTTTGACAGTGATTGCACACAAGCCAGCCTCATGCTCACGCAAAATTTAACCAAGTAACCAGCAACATCTTTTGTTCATTGAGTCTGATAGCGTACTGTTAGTAGATGCTCCTTCGATGAAACCTCAGCTGATGACTGGCCCAACGAATAAAATATTATGATTCATAGGACCACAAAGATCGTTCGTGCTCCTGTGCTTCGCAACACAGACGCATATTTAGGCTCAAAATGGCCCTGTGAATTGATTTTGTCCTGCTCTGATTCGCCCCTCTTTGAATCCATAGCGGAACCACAGAAAGAGTTCATCCACACTAAGGGCACGCACCTTCGTGTTATAAATTTTTTCTTGTTACCAGTTGCAAGTGCGTAAGGTAGTCTACTACAAGGTGTTATCGTCACCCGTTGTAAAACACGGTTTGAGGTTCCCAATACTCTCTCTAATCAACTTTGTTTTTGTCTTTACACCAGATAAGTAGGGCACAGAGCAGAAAACAATCGAGTGGCTGTTGGACGAATTCTTCCATGAACATAGCACTCATTCTCGGTTCCTGGAAAGAAGGCTAGTACCCTGGGCTGGTGCTATTACCACAGCCTCTTAAGTAATCTCTCGTTGGTTCGTCTCATACAAGCTGGACCTTAACTATAAATACCTCATTTGCGACTGTACAGTTATACATAGTCGCTGGATGGCGCATTAGGTATCACTGATTTGTGTCAACAACACTCGCATCACACGCATGTAGAAACCATGTAAGTCACCGAGGATTATATTTAAAAAAACATTACACCTTAGGCAAAGGCGTGGTGCAAATGGAACAAGCAGTAAAAAACGCTGTTGCAGTGCACATGAACCAAAGTGAGGTTATATTTGTCATTAAAATCCCACGAAGCCCTTCATGAACTCCTCATAGGTCACAAAAATGAAAAACCGAAAAGTTGTGGTAATAGTGATTTCAAATATTACAAAACAGTTGCGAGATCAATACTGCTTCAAAACTTGTTTCATATCACTAACGCACTCAACCAACCATGGGGTGATGAGGCTGGAGAAAATAAACTAGCTCAGATGTAACTTACATCTATCAGCTTTCGCGCTAACGGCATATTTGCGCGATGGACGCCTTCAACGTTGCCAGGACGCGAAAACGCACAAAGTGGGCACCTCAAGGTTGACCTAGAAGGTAGAAGACCATGGATGTAACATAAGAAAAGGATAGCAGTTAGTTCAACGTAGGTGGGATATGCTCGCATTTTAAATCAGGCATTTAGCCCGTTTTAATATTGGCCTGGAACAAAACGGCAAACTGTAATGTGTATAATCCGTTGTCACATTTACTATTCTTCCCGAACTTAAACCACGCTTTGCAACTGTCGTACATATTTTATGACTTTTTTTATGTTACAAATACACATTTTTCCGGCGCGACCTGCTGACTTCTTGATGAACGAGTGTATTAACGCTCCGTTGGACTGTTTGCTGACTGCTGAACAAGTGGGACTGAATCTCTGTGTTTGCGTCAACAGTTGAACGTTACAATAAGTTCCCGTGTCATTTTTCAGCCGTCAACTACTTTCCTATCGTGGAATATACCACTCACACATGAATCACCCGTGGGAAATTTCCACAAGTGAATATTACTTTCACAGCTGGTTACTGCATTTGGTTCGGTGTAGTGGACTATTGGAGCTACGTATTCGTGAGTCCTCATTTGACTAATCATTCATTCCTTATGGTGATTTTGTGATTTTGTATTGGATACTTTGCCCGTTAATTTGTTCGAACACGCTGATAAGGACCTAGTCCGCTACAAGACGACGCCAAAGGTCAGTACCACACAGCCTCATCAAAACGCCCAAGCGTTCTGGAAACGGACGGTCGTGGGTTGGTGGGATAACAATGGGGTTATGGTGATCCTTCTGACCATTGTACATTTGTACTTTCTTTGTAACTTATCATTACGCAATTTGTACCACTTTCTATCTCTCACTAAAATCTCAGCTTACTCCTCTTCTCTTCATACCGAATAACTTTTGTTTAAAATGAACGAAAAAGAAATATGGACACAATACAAATTCTGTACCTCGTGAAAGGCGTGTTCCCTTCTTGCTGTGTCGAATTACGCTGGCAGTGAATTAGCGAGCGGTGGTCTACCTTTCAGACTACGACGGGATAAAAAGTATCCAGGACTATATCAAGGAAGGTTCCAGTAAGGAGATCGCTTTGGATTTATTGTGGTGGTAATAACTAACTGTACCAACGAACTGTGAGTTGTATCATCTCGTCTATTTTTTTCTCACTTGATTTCACTAATTTGAACTGGTATTTGCTCACGTCATCCACTACAGGGTAGATTTCTTCCAAGTCACTGAGAAAGGCGCGCTTTAGGAAAGCCAGCTAATCAAGTCAATTTCGAGAGATAATTTTGCAACATATCCTGACACACTATCAGCGTCTGTGACGCGAAAATTCGCCGATTCCCCAGTGTATGATATATGCAAGCTTTTCTCACTCATGGCACAATAATGAAATCAAATTTAGTCAAAAAGATAAGTCTGTTGCGGAACGAAAAATTGTAAGCCTCGATGGGTAATCGTGTTTCACGCCAACCAACATCTTCCAAAATACGAATCTCACATATTTTTAACATCTCGATTGAGTGCAAAATTTGGCACGCACATTTTCCTCGCCATTGTGTCAAAACTTGTTTTCTCCCTGCGTCACGTGCCAATTCGAAGCCATACAAGGTGCTTCTGCAGCAACCTACTTCTACATGCAAAAGGGAAGCTAAACTCGAAAGGCTGGAGAAATAGACTGCGAATCCCTTGTTTTCTCAACTGTCTACACTTTGAACTTAACTGCCTGTCACCGACCGAAACCTTCTGATTGGTAGGAACATTTGGAGCGCCAAGTGCCTAGGAATCAACTGGACGAAAAACAGAAATCTGGTACATATTCAGCTTGTCGGGGAACACTTAGGCTATCAAACATCACAAGATTTTTGAAGTGCCGGCAACTCCCAAACGTGCAGAGGGAACCAAACTCTTAACTAACATTGCATAAGACAAAGAAAAATAATTTGTAGAAAAAATGATGAAGGTCATTTCTGCACAAAGTATCGCACTTACATTACGGCGATGATTAATCCAACTAATTATTCTCCACGGAATTCGGTAAGCTCTGAGCTGGTTTGTTGAGAGGCCTTTTATGCTCTCCATATTTCCACCCGCTACTAATTATCCTGATGAATCAACTCATAATTGGATATAGTCAGTAGAGAATACTGCTTGTTTACCAGCAAGGTTTCTATTAAGCTGCATTAAATGAACCGCTGTAGATTTATGAAATTATAAATATTATGAAGCAGACTGTCAATGGGGTCGTTGGGGTTCATGCGTATCCCTGTGTGGAATAACAAACGGGAGCTGTCTTACCGCATGATTTCCGTAGACACGAGGACGTCTCAAATACCATGAATGAGAATTTTACCGGTGGAAACGCCAAGGTCCTTTCACACACTGAACTCCGCAAATTAATGCAATGTTCACACGAGCCTGTGGTACTTTTTAATGCACCTAAATATACCAGTCCCAAATATATGGATAGCGACTCCACAAACAGTGCCATAACTCAAGCAAACGTCCATAAACCAAAAAGTACACTTCACTGCTAGCTTGTTTTTGATTCGGTAATTCGTCACAGAAAGCTGAACCTCACTACGACGCGCCGGTTGGTCCACGGCGTTGTCCATTAGGCTGCCCAATGTGGCGTCGCTTCGTCGTCTAAATATTTTCCCCAACAGATTGCTTATTTCAACCTTCCGTTCGATATATTTATTCTCGGAAACGAAAGCAATCTTCCCCTCGCAATCTCTAAGTTAACCTTCCCTATTTCATCCCGAAGAGTCCCCCGTCTTAGGCATCAAAAACGATATCTGTATGTCCAACTCACTTACCCGTACAAGCACTTGGGAGTCTTGATAAAACCTGTGATGATTTGCACTGGTATAAAAAGAAGGTAATGTACTTGAACTATAAATCGCACACGCTCTATTCCATTAAATGGAGAAAGACGCAAATGTTCTATTGAGTGCACATGATTTACGCTCGTAAGTCGAGTTTCCTCGGGCAAACCAATTTATATTGCTTTTGAAGTATCCAGGTCGTTTTTATTGTTAGCAAAGTCCCCCATGGCAAGTAGCGTCCACTAATGTTTTCCAGCAGTCTGCACTGGGGAGCTGCCACATGACTGGAGGTTACAATTATGTGTCGCGAGATGCCGAGCATGACACCAATCATCGTACCCAAAAGTAAATGGGAATAAACATTATTATTATAAGGCTTCACTTTGTAAGGTTAGGCGGCTTAACAGGGCATTGGTTGCTCATGGTATACGGCCAAAATAATCTGAGTAATATGAGCAACTAATGCGCTGTTCCCGACCTACGATGCCCGCTAGACTTAAGAGACATAGCCGTCGACGCCCATGCCTGGATAGTAGAATGACGCAGCTCATGCACAAGATTTCAACCGGCTTGCGTCGATAGCGCCCAGCAAACTAACAAGATACCACGTATGCACCTAGACCACCATCTGATTGGAGAACAATTTTTCGCGATCATTGACGGCTAACTTCCGTAGCGAATGAAGAATGTTGGAACAACAGGATTTACCAAAGGGTAATCCACCGCCTCACTACGATTTTTGGATGTTGCGGATTAAAATAGCTGCAATTTGCCTGCCATCTGGGTAAGTTTATTTTTGCAAACCGTCACTGGAGGTAACGAGGGCTGTGAAAATGAATGAAGGGATATTCCTTGCCGAGGTAAGTTATAGTCCAATTGCCGTTGTTATGATATGGTCATTTTGGAAAATATACGTGCACGAAATTTCCTACTACTCTGGGTGCCAGGACCCAGATCACTAGAGGCAAACGGGGGCAAGGGGAACAGATTGCCGGGCAAAATGTGTAGGCGCATCTACCATCACAACCGTCGGGGTCACATTGCACCAGAAACTGAGTTAGCCTTCGTGGACTTGAGACGTCATGGCATTTCTAACCTGATGGTGCTGCAGTCTCCGCGTTCGCGTTCTTGGTGCCTCAGCGTGAGAACGTGTATACATGGTCATTTAGGGAACATTTCTAGAACGTGGTCGTCGCCCCCATGTTTCCTTCTAGACAGTATGATGAAACGTGTGTAGCTCATACTACTTCCTGAACTAATCAGCAGCCCCGACAGCTTATTCATGAAATGCTCGGTTCTATAAAAGTGGCGCGTTCACCTTTACAAGCAACCTCAAACGTTCTCTGATCCACGTTGCCAAAGTGGACGATCCCCTATAGTGCGTGATCCACCCACTTGTAGGTAATGCGTAGCGATTCGGCCGTATTGAAATAAAAGTCCCTGAATAGGTTGCGGTGAAACCAGTATGCTAACAATATAATTAAAATATTCCAAATATTTAAGCATTGCGGGCCTTACCCCGGAATGAGTCAGTTGTCGCTGAATGGTGTAAATGGCTAAACTACAAGGACCTAGTTTGGTAGGTGCCTTGTTCCTTACATCATTATGAGCCTGGAAATAGCACAGCATGACGCCACGACGGAACACAATTCTGGCCGTTGCCATTTATGCTGTCACGTTATTCATAACGGCTGCATTCACTTAATGATATCCGCCCATCATCTCTCTGAAAAAGCTGCACAGTTTAGGACGGAACACAATTCTGGCCGTTGCCATTTGTGCTGTCACGTCATTCATAAAGACTGCATTCACTTAATGATGTCCGCCCATCATCTCCCTGAAAAAGCTGCACAGTTTACGCATGGCAGCAAGCTGCTCGTCTTTAACGAAAGCATGCGTCACCTTCCGCCAGGTACACACGACATTTGCGGTCTTTGAATTTTTCGCTGAGCTGAGCAATTCGGTTGCAAACGTTTCATCACCAATCGAAGTGACATCATCAGTCCGTTGTTAAGGCGCATCGTGGAGCGTAGCGATGGGTTGGCGGCCTAGCTCAGCGAACAAAACATCGACCATCTGTGCTACCTGGGCTACCAACATTTTCTCCTATAACATGACATTTGTATTCATAAAGATGCAGAGCTTGTGTCTGGGTACCATACGATAATTTCTTTAACAGGAATGATCTTAGTTTGTTCGCGGCGTATATCCCATCGGTATTTAAGATATCTGGATACCTGACGTGACACATGAGGCTGTAATACCCCTCCCCAAATACAGCAATGTACCCTCCCGGACTCGCAAAGCTCCACCAGGACGGAAAACGTAATATGCCACAATTAACACAAGCTATCACGAGCCATCCGCCACCTCTGCCGCCGGATGTCGATGTTATACATGGGGAGAGTATTAAAGAATTCGTCTATTAGACTTATGCATTTCATGCGACGAAGTTCTCGTGTTTCAGCAATATGTCATGTGATCAACTCACTAGGTTCTCTGGATTTCTAGAAACTTTCTTGGTTTCGAGTGAAGACTGTGGCATATCTAGTAAAGCCTCATATTCCAGAAGAGCGAAAGGCTAAAAATTTAATGCCCGCCGAAAAAACGAATGAATATCAAACCAAACGAATTTACGATTCTCGTTCGGGGAGCTGCATAGAAATTGTTATATTTGAACCTAAAAACCTTTCTTCGACTCAGACATTTTGTGGAAAATGTCACATCTTCATCGATTTCCTTCAAACCCTATGTTAGTTACCTCCAAAGTGCACGACATAAAAAACCTCACCGCAGATTTGCCCAACTCTGGTGATTGTCCCTTGAAAATCCCTACCCCGCAGAATTTGGCGGGTGTAATGGATGAATAATATTCACATACCATGTCAGCGCTTTCACTCTAGGACCCGCAACTAGTTTAACACCCTTTTCGACAGCATGAATCTCTGGTTTCATAATATTATGCTCTTTTATTACGTATGCATCAGCCAAAAGTGATAAAAAAAAATTTCCCGTGTGTTTTCGTCATTGTGTAAATTTCAAGACAAGTGCTTTCATGAATAATCCCTGCACTTGAAAGTGATAGGCACCGCCTTCCCCAAAAGATTATTTCTCAACTCATCACTCGTACGCGCATGTCATCCGTTTCCATAGAACATCTTGGATTTGTAGACCTCCCAAGCCTAAGTGACACAAACTAGGTTGAATTGTTGAATTTTATTAATCTAACAAAACATTTGAGAGATAACCCTTTATATATTGCGCACGCCACCTATTTTACATCTAGTCCGAAACATGACATCAATTTATGCAGATTGCCGAGAAAGTCCAGAAAGTCCATTGTCCAGAAAGTCCACGAGGCTGACGCGACGTTCGTCCCAAGAAAACCGGCACGCACTCGGATG